CGAAGACCAACTTAAGTGTCGGGCCTTGGCTTGGCTGGTTACCCTGGGTGGAATACAGACAATAGGCAGACAAACTTGGGCAAGAGATGTATGGCAATCAGTAACTTTTGCTGAACATGCAAGGATGATGCTGAATCCATTAATTGATTGTTCTTACACTGCTCTAGTCCATGCGGGATTTGGACGCTTGTACTAAATCCGTTTTGAGTTTGTTTGGGTGCCCCTTCATCCATTGAGGCTATTTTCCCACAATAGCTAGCCCGGCCCATTGCCTTCCCTACCTATACATTGGCCAGCCCGAGCCAGGACTAGACATGACTAGAACCAGCCGAAGAGGCCCTGGCCCACGCCTGGGTTTCTGTCCCAAAAGTTGGCCTCACTGTTGGCGGATTCACTATGTTGGCTGTCATCAGAGAATCTGAGACCAAAGCTGTAGATTTTGAAAAAACAGTGGAGACACTTGTCGAATAATGGTTGCGCGATAATCTAAACCCAGCAAGTGGAAACAACCACACGAGGGTTAGGTAAAACTTCGATGAAAGTTCTAGGGCAAACCCAGGCGCCACAGGGGTTGGAAGAAGACACCAATGAGATAATCAATACTTTCACCTTCATTCCAATGAAGCAAAAATGTGCTATTCGGACTCGGAAGCATTAAGCCAAACTACAAATCCATTATAAGAGTGGGAGGCTCCTATAATGTAATCACCTGGAGTACGTGAGAGGATAGCTGCCTCTGCAGCATACAATTTTTTTCTGATGAAGTATGGCTTCGGCAGAGCTGCCTGCTAGTGACGTAGTACATGTGTGGCAAGATTCAAATGAAGAGGCAGATGCATTAGCGAGAGATGGAGTCTCCAAATCCGGGATGGTAGTTCCCCGAGTATTGATGTATAAGAATTAGAGAATTTACAGTTGCCATTCCACGTTCTTGTTGTTCATTGTGTCTATAGATGCTTCGTAGTCTAATGTACAAAGAAGAGACAAGATTACATGGACTTCTACTGGAAAGTTGACTTGTTCATGGTAGAAGAAACAAGATGAGATGAACAGTCATCGACTTCTACATTACCTGATTCAGGAAAACTTATAAAGGAGAAGAAAATAGAAGCTTTCTCATCATATTATCAGTAGCTTCTGTATCAATTGCCCCAAGAGGTGGAGATGGACTGGAAAGCAAGCAAAAGAAAGTAGGAGGGAGAGAGGGAAGCGGCTCAACGGTCTGTTCCGTGTTTCTAGAAAAACTTCAAGGGTTTGAACCCTTGGCTTCCCTCACTCAAATCATGATGTTTACCAATAAGCTGAAGACCAAGGGACTAAAAAGTAGTAGGTCATCTTGGTTGGTATAAAAAAACTTCAAAGGTTCAAACCATTGACAGACCTCACCAAAACTGGGATGTCTACTACTAGTCTGAAGCCTAAGGGAAGCATGCAACGTCAGATCTAAATAGTACAAATGGTTTTTGGAGATTCTTTGGAGGAAGAGCCACAATAAAGTGCCTTGGATATAGTATCAGCTGACTACCTGACTTCTCAAAATGGAGCACATTACTATAGATGGCATTGTGTTGCTTATGTCAGATAAAATCCTGTTTCAATACATGAACTAAATACATTCACCAATGAATGCTCCACATTTTCTTCCATGATCATGTCCCTTAGTTATGGAGTATCAAACTAGAGCATATTGACCTGTATGAGTAAGAGAAGGACGCATCTCTATGCATCTTTGTCGTTTTACTGGAGGAGAGCATATAGCTAAGACAGGGTAGATGTTATGTCTGGTACCTCAATTACTGTACATCTTTTCATAATGGGAAGAATGAGAGGATTGGCTTGTGGTCAGTCAACTATCCATGCATCACTTAAGAGATGTGCAGATTTGCTGAACGGCTTACCCCTGGTGTGTGTTATGAAAATTCTGATCACAACAGATGCATTCGAGCAATACTGTTCTTTTCAGGGTACCGCTAATTTCTGCAATAAGTGGGAACAACAACACCGTCTTGATCTAACTTTCCATGGAATTGGGGAACCAGGACCAAACAATTGAACATTCTCATTCTTTATGAAAGGTTTGAGATGAGGGGCTCTTTTTAGCTCCCCATTACTGTATGATAGCTCAAAATTTCCTTGATAAAAATAACTGATTTTTAAAAAAATCCTCAATAAAAATAACATTGATTGAGATGAAAGGTATTGTCATCATGATCTTTATGAGCATAATTTGTAAACTTGGTGTCTTTACTTAAATAACTCCCAAACCAGGAATAGATGACCTTGTCTTGGAATAAAATAGATCAATTTAAGTGGATTTTCTATAAGATTCTTGTAGGGTCTTTTATCTTTGCTCATTCTCGCTTTAAAAGCAAAACTTGATTTCATTATGCATTATGTGCAGTGTGTGCTGAATTGCAATTGCTTGCACTTTTATCTCTATTTTTAAGAGATTTTTTTGGAAGTGCATTAGGTGTACTTGTCATATCTACTCAATAGAAAAACTCTGCTGCAGCACTTGGCTTTACCACACTATTGTCTGTCAAGAAGTCATCTGAAGAAGCCACAATTTTATCGCACAATATACACAATATACAATAAATTGACAGGTGACTCTGTTACTTACTGTGAATTTGTAATTGGTGGCTTAAGTGCCTCTGGTTCCACGCACAAATGATTAACTAAATTATCTCAGAGAGTGTTCTGGCTCTCAGACTAATTATTGCACCATTAATCAGCATCCAGTTGCAGGTAATGGCTCTTATAATTATACGGTAAATTTGTCAAAAGACACCTAAGATTTTAACTATGGGTGCGGTTTGTACAGAGCCTAGTCTCTAAACAATCAAATTAGAGCCTACCCTCAAATAATGTCAAAAGTGTAGTTTTAATACTGGAAATTTTTGTGAAAGCCTTAAAATATATTTTCATCTTTATTTATAAATTTTAAAGCTTCAAAAATAGTGTATAGATCAACAGATCTATGGTAACTTGGAAATTTTGAAAATTGACGATCCAAAAATGTGTTACAAAATACACTATTTTCAATACTTGAATTCCATTTTTTTCTTATGTCCATGCATCTTGATTTTGAGATAATCAATTCGAGGATATTTGAGCATCAAAACAACCTCTTCAAGTGAAATTTTTGAGGTAGGCTCTAATTTGATTGTTTAGAGCCTTGGCTCTATATAACCTTTTCCCTTAAACCATTTAACATTATATAATACATATGTTTTGATTTAATTTCAAAATGCCCATTAAAATACACATGTATTTGGCGCCAAAATACTGCAGTTGGAATAGTACAGAAAGGGTAAAAATGTTAAATGATTGAAAAGCGATGTGTATTTTCATAAATTTCCCTTATCATATTTGGTTTTGTAGTCATTTACAATGGATGCATGGACTTTCAGTTGCTTTAACTAGTTTATATGTGGGAATGAGTAGAAGTAATGAAAATCTGTACAACATGAGACCAATAGAAATTAGAAAATAAAGGAAGAAAACCACAAACTAATGAGTCAAACCCAAATAAGGAAAACATTATCAAGGTAAATGAATCAGGATACACCAATAAAGAAAATAAAGTTTAATATGAAAAAGTGGAATAACATCAGATTTGAGGAAATCAAATTAATTAAGAGCATTTGTCGGGCTGCAAAATGGAGTGAAAGGAAGAATGTAAGACCAAAAGGAAACAAATTAGAAACGATCCTTTTGAAAGTTACTTCTAAGAATGAAGAAATCAAGAAACTCAAGAAATTGAAGTAGATAGAAGAAAAGGGACAGAAGAAGAAGAATAAGAAGCATCAAAAGATATCTAACAATGGATAGATGCTTGTGACATTCATGGTAGTAGGAGACAGTGATACTCAGAATATATGTGCTGCTTAGAGAGGATCCCTCGTTGAGTCATGAGTGTATTGTGATAATTTATACAACAGTATTTTAGATTGTTATTGAGATCTGTAGCAGAATTTTTCTCCTCCTGGAGAGTGTGTTTTAGCATAAGGATGCTTCAGTTTTCTATTCTTCTTTGTTTATTGTATACAATACACATAGCGACGCTATTTCTATCCATCATGTGGATCAGTTAATTGTCCTCTAGTATATCTATAATATCATGGTGTCAGAGCAATCCGAATCCTAGACCCCCAAACCCTGAAGGACTGATATAAGTGGGTCTTTGGCAACAAACCATTGTATGAACCATCAATAAGAGAGAAGATACCAATGATATATGTCCAGATGCTGACGTTTTTACACCCATACGTGAACAGGTGGCATATCTGATATCCTTATTAGCAAGCAATCTTGGGGATCCTTTCCTTCCACATTCATGAGTCTGATGCTTTCCATATTCAATAGATCTGAGCAGCACGGGAATCTGCATTTCCCTAGTATGAGCTTTTCTTTGAGATTTTTTGTGACCCACATTCGAAACTTGCAATGTGTGTAAATTCAATTAGTTGGTTCGTCCTATAACAAATATCCTACAGAGAAGTGTCAGTTCCATCCATTATATGGTTCCGATGTTTGATTGATTTCATTTTGGTTTGGATATAATAACTATTTATATTTTTCTGCTCCAATCACATGCATAGACCGTGGCCTTTTAGGTGCGCCCAAGTCTAATCCATCTATTGTTGAAGTTGTAATGGAAAGATACAAATGTATGAGAAAGATGCAAAGAAAATAGTTAGTTTTTTTTTTTAATGATAAAGAAAATAGTTAGTTCATGTACTAGCCAGTAGTAGAATTCAAGTGTAGGGGGCTCAAGAGTGACATCTGAGAGTCCTCACTCCAAGCAAAGCCTGTAAGATAGCATATGAATTTTGTGAGCAAGATTTTTAGTCTTACAATGGTACAATCCTTTCATTTATTTCTCACAGATAATCTTGCCAATCCATGACTCTTGTGTTCGACATTCCGTAATTGTATAACCTTGTCTAATATTTATAGAAGAAAAATAAAAACTATAAACAATAAATACAATGAAGTTGGAACTAAAAACGTGAGGGCATGGCATTATTTTTCACTCTATGCATCAGAAGCCACTCACAATGAGTACATATTCCACAAACTTGCTCTTTTAGTTGAAAGTCTGCACAAACGGCCTTAGTGTACTCCTTGTAGTAAAGAAACAAAGCTAATAACTCAAAAAAACAACCATGTTTTCCAATTCAAAAAATTGAATTATCTTACAAGACATTGACCAGCTCTTCGTCCTTATGATACATTATTTTCTTTAAGATTAATACAAAGCTTAGAGAACATACAATTACTACACATGAATTTAGGACTACAGAAAGGAAGTGGTATGATAGGTCCAGTTCACCAACGTGAAATAAATCAACTATCTTTTGCCACAGGATCAAAGAAACTCAGAAAGGCATGGTTTGTTCACCTCTCCAAGAAATAAAATTTTAAGACCTTGAGCATCTGCTGATGCCGGTGTTTTTAGATAAAGCTTTATATGTTTTATTCAAGTAGTACCTGTTTGTTGGGACACAGTCGAGGACAATTCCTGTATTGAGGGCAAAAACACATCACAATGTAATTTGATAGATAGCAAAGAGAAGGTGAGTGTACAATGATCAAATATATTATGGAAAACAACCAGGGCATGACCATCTAATGAAAAGATGGAAGGTGACAAAGAGATAGTTGACTGCACCAGAACAGGATATGATACCAAAACGTTGGCCTCTCTCTCCTCTCCTTCACCATCCACCACTTCATCAGCTAGTGATGACTCCAATGGCCCATTGTTTTCCAGATTCCTATGGATAATAGTAACCTTTTCCTCTAGAATTAACCATCAGGTGGTTTCAAGTTGTACCTCTGAAGAAAATCTTAGATGGTTGCGTTGTGGTGCAGAGGATTTCACAATCCTTTCCCACTTTGGGTCAACAGGAGATTCCTTAAAAGCATGCCTCTGTTTCTTCTGAAAACTAACAGATGGCAGTGAAGAGAGATGTGAAGATGAAATAGAAGGCAAAGTTCGCCAAAGCCAAGACTCAGAAGGAGATTTTGGCAAAGGAGGAGGAAGCGGTGGCTCAAATAAGCTGGCATCGGATTTCCTTGTAGGTTCATCCTCCAGAAAATGTGGATCCCTCTTGTCTTCAAATTGCACCTTTAAACGACCTGAAGATCTAAATTCTTTGTTAGAACCATGCTTTGATACTTTCAAAGCATCAGCACCATCATCCATCTTTTTACTATGCCCTGTTGAATTTGTTCGATATGAACAAGCTGGTACCTCACTTTCTTCCGCCAAAAATATTGTATCTTCCATCGGTCTTAATCTATTAGACGGATATGCTTCAGCTTCTGTGGTTACAACCATCTGTTCAAGCTTTTTCTCAATAGAGCTATCAGAAATTTGGGATTCTGTTACTCTCTGGTCCATCAAATTCTCCATACCTTTGTTTCTGAGATGAATAGACTCCTTAGAATCTAAATGATTCTCCATACCTTTGTTTCTGAAATGAATAAACTCCTTGGACTCTAAATGACCAGACCCAGGTTTTGAAGCCCCCAACCCATGAACCGAATCTATATACACAGTCTTCTCAGCTGCAGGGCTCAGTGAGCCTGATCTTCGGTCACTACCACGATGGGATGTTGTGCTCGAAGAGTATTTGTCGACCTTGAAAGTTTTCTCTGTCTTAGGGAAGCCTAGAAAACCCATGCCTTCATGAAAAGGAGACCGGGGTGCTTCATTTCTATAAGGTGATATCCCGCCCATTGAGTGCCTATATGGTGACATATCATCAGGAGTTTGAGAGTCACTTGAGTAATTAGGTTGTTTGCCATACACTGAAGGGGTACTGGCACTATCACTAGTTGGCTTACTGGCATCTTCTACAACTTCATGAGTTTGACTTCCATTAACCAATTTGTGTCGATATACTGCTTCCCATGTCTGACAAATATGTATAACAGTAAAAATGCCTTATATAATACTAATCAAATAAAGGAAAAAAAATAAAGAATCCTAATAAAATTTAATGCACGAATGAAAATGCTGTATAGCCTGTATAAAAAAAATCCATCTAAAACAAAACACAAAAAACTAGATTTAAGGATCATGCAGGAGACCAAAAAGAATGAAATTCTCTAAAGACAGTACCTCTTGCTCTCTTTGTGTGAGTGTTACAGGACTTGAAGTCTTAATTTGGTAATCTGCTGGACGAGAGGTATCCCTCAAGGGCATCTGTTTGCTTGTTTTTGCCCTCGGAGCATGAATAACTGGATTCAAAAGGCATATTGAATTCTTTAGTCGCCAAGGAAATAATCCACAAACTTTGCGAGATGAGTCCACACTGTAATCTCCGTCGTCGTCATCATCATCATCATCTTCTTCTTCATATCCTGCCTGTTGCTCTTGAATGTGCTTTTGAATTAAGTAATGATTAGGAACACGTGTCACTAAGGGTGATCCATCTCGGCTAATATTAGTCACCTGTCTCACTGGTTCATTCCCAACTTGTGGCTTTCTAGAGGGAGCATATTGAGGAGACTCAGAGGCCATTGCTCTAGCAGCAGGTAAAAACCGGTCTATCATAAACTTCCGGGTAGATAAATCCAAACCCCCATTATCCAAGGTCTTCAAATCCTGACCATCCAAAGCACTCACACCACTTATGCTGCAGTTAAGGAAGCAAGATTCGGTTTGAGATAGCGTGTCCAATGCATCTGCAAACACATCGTCGTCCTCTATATCTGAACTTCCCCCCTCGTTAGAAAACTTACGTTCCAAGAGAGCCATGGAATTCGTACTTTCCTTGTAAGAATTACCAAAAGATTTCATATTGGTTTTTGATGAGGCACCATGGTAACCCGAAGTACTAAAAGATCTAATGTTGGTTTTCAATGAAGAGCCATAGGACCCAGTTGATGTTTCAATGGGTTGAAGACGAGTAGCGTTCATGATGTCTTTGTTTTCTGGTTTTTCATCATCTTTAGGGGGCTTCTTAGCATTGAATTTTCGACCAGGAGGAAGCTTAGGTGCCAATGGTGGCCTTTCAAGAGATTTAGGTGACCCATCATTTCCTCCATCTTTGGGCCTTCCAGGTATTTGCTCCCAAACAAAAGGAATTGTGCCAGGATTTCTCACTGGCCCTGATTTTAAGTCAGATTTATAGGTAGGAGGAGTGAGATTCTGAACTGCCAATTTCTCACTCCTCTTATTGTCACCCACTTCGGAGGTCACAGATGTTCCAGAGAATCGCCTCACTGATAGAAGGGGAGCATTGAAATCTAATTGCTTCTCCTCCATCAAAACGGCTCAGTTCAACAGCACATTGAACAAACAAGGAGACCTATCAAGCCAATATGCTGGAAAAGAACTGAAAAGAAGAAAAACATATTGATAAGAAAATTGGAACTATGTAATTCTTCACAGAGAGCAAAAGAGAGAGAGAGAATTGGAACTATGTAATTCTTCACAGAGAGCAAAAGAGAGAGAGAGAGAGAGAGAGAGAGATCATCACATAATACATACAAGATACATCTCCTACCAGTTTCTTACAATCAACAGCATTGATGAAAGAAATGTAGCATGGCAAAACATCGAATCAACAGATAATCCACAAAATAATGCAAATCCATGCCTAAAGTATTCAAGATCTTATCACCCAAAAGATGCAATTCTACCAGTCTTCACCATCAAATGTCGACTTACCAACAAAAACACAAGAAGGACCACCACACGCAATTGCAAAACGTCCATAAACCCTAAAAATCAATGATACCAACAAATAAGACTAACTCTAGCTTCACAACAACTAAAACAAGAGACCCCAATTCCCATTTACCAACAAAGCATTAAAGACAAAACCAGTAACAGGAAAGTTACATATAATTCAGAAACTCATTAAGGACAATTCAGATTTCAGAGCCATGGACCTGCAACTAAGTACAGTTTAATAATAACAAACAGCATAAAAGAAATGTCAATCCTCTGATCTGAAACTAATATAATACTACAAAGAAGATGCGTATGGTGGAGGCCAGAAATAATAACCAGAAGAAAACAAAATACCTGGTGTAGTTTGCAGAGATTGTACATGGCAGCATAATTAGAGAGAGAGAGAGTCTTGAGGGAGGTTTAGGAGATAAAAAGGATAAACCCCTTTATACGATTCCCCACCCAAAAAGAGATGAGATAGAGAGAGAGAGAAATGTGTACACGCTACAAGGGGCTGAAATGGTTAGAATTACAGTTGAGAGGGAGTAGACTGAAAATTTGACTCCTTTCGAACCGTGGAGAATTGGCATGCTTGCCATGAGGGCAACGCATTTGGCTTTTTCTTTTTATGGAAAAAGTTTTTATAGAGCCTACGTTCTAAACAATCAAATTAGAGCCCAGATCAAAAAATTACGGCTGAAGAAGCTCTTTTGATACCCAAATATCCCCAAATTGATTATCTAGACATCAATATGTATGGATATAAGGAAAAGTAGATTTTAAATTTTGAAAATAGTACATCTTGTAAGATATTTTTTGACATCAATTTTTAAGATTTTTAAATTTTTTATAGATTTGTTCGATCTATACTATTTTTTAAGCTATAAAATTAAATTTTATAACTCAAAATAAATATATATTTTAAGACTATTACACAGATTTTGAGTATTAAAGCCACATTTTTTTAAGATTTTTAAGTTTTTTTATAGATTTGTTCGATCTACACTATTTTTTAAGCTATAAAATTAAATTTTACGACTAAAGATTAAACCATTTTTTTACACTATGACAAAATTTAGGGTATTTAAACCACATTTCTGGATACTATGTGAAGGTGCGTTTTGATTGTTTAGAGTCTCGGCTCTATACAAACAGCACCTTTTTTATTAGTTAAAAATTAAAAAAGAGAGAAGGGGGAGAGATTTAGAGAGAGGGAGGGGTGCTTTTCTTTAAGAGAGAGAGATAATGGTTGTTAGTTTAGTTATCTGGAAAGTGAAGTGATGTAAAGCGAGATGAATGCGGTGAACCATATTGTACAGCTGTCACCACGTGGACCACCGTCACTTCCGTCCCTGTCTTTACTCTGACCGCTGCGTCAGCATGGTCATGGTCCGGAGGGAATAATCAAAGAACTACTATAGCGGGGTCTCTATTAAATCTTATGTCATTGGTAATATTCAAGCACCTTGATTGATATTGAATAGAGACCATATAAGTCCTGGTTTTGATTGATATTGAATAGAGACCATTAGTACTGGTTTTGATTGATATTGAATAGAGACCATAAGTCCTGGTTTTCACAACTGTAGCCGCGACTCTAATAAGTGTAGCTGATTTTTTTAGGTTGACAAGAATCTTTCCGGAGATTGTATGTTTTGTGGAAGTTGTGGCTTTTTGAGCCGTAGTAATTTTCACATTTGTTATATGGGAGTGTGACCTTATTTTTGAAGCTACGCTTCAAGTAGTTTCGGAAAGGTGGTTAAAATACATTGTTTTGGGGAAGTTGCGGGATCTAGGATATATTTATGTGCTAACCCTAGAAGCACAGTTATCGCAACTAGACTGAGTCGAACAGGTCGAACCGCCGATTGGTGCATTGGTTGATATGGTTTTAAGCAGTGTTTAAAAAAACGCCGAGTCGAATCAGACTCGTCCTGTTCGACTCGAGAATCGCCATGGACGGGTCGAATCGGTGAAAAAAACGGGAATCGTTCGGTTCTAGAGAGAACCGGACGATTCTGCACAGTGACTCGCCGATTCACTGTACGGAATCGACGAGTCCCGTAATCGAATTTTTTGTAATCCATGATCGAAATGTTTGTTTTTTTTT